TTCGTCAAAGGTATAACTTGGTTTAACGTTTGTTCAATTGATCCGATCACATGACTAGCTATACTATTTACATTGTTGCCCTTATTAGATTCATTTATTTTATTAATCGTCTCAGTTAAAATTTTAGCAAACTTAATATCGTCAAATTTTTTATAATTTCTGCCAATAAAATAGTTCTGCTTACTTAAATTACGTTGATTTTTTGACAATTTAATACTTAAAATATCATGGTCAGTTATTTTAGGAGAGTCCCAACTGTCACAATTTAAAGATTCGTTTGAATAAGCTAAGTCAATCATTGTTTGTGAATTATTTGTAACGCGTGTAAACGTTGGGACATAGTTCTTAAGTCCTAACTCACCCATTATTAATTGAAGCTTATTTGAATAGTAACTATTTTTACTAATGTCAATATTGAAATCACCAAGTAAAATAAATTGTTTATTTTCAGCAAAATTAACAATAATTTCTTTTAATATATACATAAAAAGTGCATCACTCGTACTAGGTGAGTGATACACTACTGAAATAATAATCTCATTCAGTAATTGGAATGAAAACGTTAAGTTCCAAATATTAGAAGAATAGTTTTTGTTGTTAATAATTTTAAATTGCAAGTCATTTCTAAAATAAACAAGAATACCTCCTGTATATTTATTTTCCGAGTTTACTCTAACGTGACTATAATTATCAATTATTAGTTCAGAGTCATTTATGTCTTCTGTTACGCGAGTTTCAGTTAAACAAACAACTATCGGTTTCTCATCTATTATTAGTTCTTCAATTTCGTCTTTGTGTGCTAAAAAACTAGCATTTAAATGCAATACTGATTCATTTTGCAGTAATTGTTAAATATTTTCTTCAGACTTTTCTTTTGATTTTCAACTAATTTAATATAAATTGGACAATTTTTATCATACGCATTGTGCCCATCATTACAATTATCATTATTTGAGTCTTTATTGATCTTTTTCTTGTTTTGATGAGCACAATTTGTACATTTTAAATCAGTCGATTGGCAACTTTTGCTGTTATGTGCACCTCCACATTTACCACATGTAATCTCTCTTTTACAGACATTCGCGTAATGGTTGAAACCACAGCACTTGAAGCATCTAATAATATTAATATGCTCAATCACTTTGCACTGTTTCCATCCAAGGCAAACCTTTTCCAGAAACAAAAGCATCTTTTGCAACTCCAAGCTTACTTCAACAATTACGCTAAAATCATTCTTTTTGTCGTTACTAATTCGCTTGACTATTTTCATCTCAACTTTCTCGCAACACTCTTTCAAATTATTTTGTTGAATTAAATTATTAACTATTTGCTCATCTGTTGATGACGCTTCTTGCTCATTATCAATATAAACAATTTTTACAAATTTCTTTTGAATTTTAGGAATTTGAACTTTAAATTGATCGCCAATTTTGTCAATAACATCTTTTTGCAATTTATCACAATCCTTAACATTTTTACATTTAACAATAACTGTTCCATTATTTTTCTCTTTAATACTCGTAACTCCAACTCCAAGCTCTTTAACGTTAATGCTATTCTTAACGCTGTTTAAATTATCGTTTTTGTTGACATTACCCTGCGCGGCAACGTCAACATCAACTGGCTTTACTACTATCACCGCGGACTTTTTCTTTTGGACAACATTCGCATAAGATACACTTGAAACATTATAACGTTATTAATTTGAGCATTATCATTACTTTTGTGCAAAATTGTGTTCTTATTTGTCAGTTTGTTAATAATTCGCTTCAGACTGACAATTTCGTTTTTACTCTCGGCTATTTCATTTTGCAGTGTATCAATCTTCTTTACCAACAGACACACCTCGGCTCTAACGCTGTTTTGGATTAGTCGTAGTAACTTCTCCTCATCCACATCATCGCTGTTGACAATTTCATCTTCAGTCTTTTTTCTCTTTCTACTGTTTCCATTGTTACCAATTGTCGCCAGTTCACTCTCGCCATTCGATTCCAAATGATTCTCGTTATGCTGTTCGTCAATGTCCATCTCCTTATTTTTCAAGTCAATTTGTTTAAAGCCAGCAGTGCATTACCTTTTGCGTTTCTTATTTTATGATACCTTACTTTTAGCTCCTGTTTATCTTTTTGACAAAAATAAGGCATCGACTTTTCTTGACTGTCTACACCAGTTAGTTATTCGTGCGAATGACAGCCCCGTGGCTCCTTTGTTAAGCGTCGTCGGCGTGATGGCTGATGTACATAACCAACGCCATTCACCACCAACACAATTTTCACTTGTTACTGCACTTGTACTTTTATTAGCAAACTTTTCACAACAGAAAACCACACTTTAACGTTAAAGGATATCTTGTAAACATTTACTTGTTTTTTAAACTTATTCCTCCACTCACAAATTATAGCCAAACTCGGAGCAACGTGAGCACGTGCACCCAGAGAGAGAGAGAGAGAAAGAGAGAGAGAGAGAGAGGGAGGGAGGGAGGGAGAGAAAGGGAGAGAGAAAGAGGAAGAGAGAGAGAGAGAGAGGAAGAGAAAGAGAGAGAGGGAGAGAGAGAGAGGGAGAGCGGGAGAGAAAGAGAAAAAAAACAGTGACAAAAATGTTTTTAAACAAAACAATTTCCGTCGCCAGCAAATAATTCAAAATAAGTCGTTTTATTTTCGACTCAACTGGCCAACGGGTCATAGGTATCACTTAATCGGCCCTGTATATTCGGTTCTGCTCGTTTTTCCATCAGAGCGCCGTTTGCTATCCGCGGATTACGTTTGACAACTTCATTTCGACTTTGACTGTCTTACTGTTCGGACGTTGTGCCTCGATATGGCTGGTGACGTTTTGATTTCACCGTTTGTTTTGGAACGCATAAGAACTGTAAGCTTTTAACTAATTTTTACAGTGTTAATTAATTTTATTGTTTTTGACCAGCGTGATATTGTAACGATTTTGTATAGTTTTTCTATTGTTAAATGTATTATTTTCTCTTTTGTTTAGTTTTGCGTTTGTCTTGACGTTGTCAGGACACCACGTCAACGATGCAATTTGTTATGCGGATCGGTGTAACTTAAATTAATAGCACTTGATAAGGACCGGAATTCGGTCGAAACGTCGTGCAATATTGTTTTAATTGGCCAGTTGGGTCGAAAATAAAACGACTTAAAAATGTTTTTAAATTTTTTTATTCCTTTAAAATTTTTAAAATAATAAATATATTTTAACCTTTGTTGTGCACACTAGGTCTTTTAGACCCTAGCGTATTTTCAAACGCGTTTTTCTAATACGTACAATGCGGATCAGGACTTGAGCTGCCATCTACCTGTAGTTTAGGGATAACACTTCAAGATCCTATACATAGTTTTGCCCGCCCGGCTTTAGTCTGCTCTTGACAGTGGTGAGAAGTTGAAAAACGCGTGATTTCATAGCAATATAAATATACTTTTTTCAACTCCGCTATAAACTAATATTTTTCCTTGAAAGTGTAGTATTTCAAGAAAGTAATCCCGCAAGAATTATTAAAAAATATTAAAAATTGAATTTTTTATGCATTTTTAAGTGAAAAGTCCATTTTTCGGTTTTTTTAGTTAACATATCATTTATAATTCTTTTATGTTGCAAAATATTAACCCGTTGAGGTTCCATGGAGTCCAGTAGACCGCAGGTTTTTTTTTTCTTAAAAGTGTACTATTTTGAGAGTAAAACGCACAAAGTTTTTTTGCTTTATCTCAAAAAATTTTAATGAATATTTTTGTGAAAAAAGTCAAATTTCTCGAAAAAAAATTTTTTTCCTCGCGTTTTTTTAACATAAAAAAATTTTTTAAATTATTGGATTATCAAGAGAAAGTCATAAATTAATTCCAGTTCAAGATTTGAGTCGATACATCAAAAAGAACGCAAATGGAAACTGTTGTGGGGTCCATTGGACTCCATGTGACCTCTACGTTACTTTTAGGAGGTGTGACCTCAACGGGTTAATAAAACCTATTAGATCTTATTTTGGAAGCTTTGAACAATAGCCAGCAATTTTGTTTAAGTTAAAATAACGAATTGTACATTTGTAATAAACGTTTAAAAGTGACTGGGGTCTAATAGACCCCTTGTGCACAATACGTAATTTTGAAGAAGTGTGCACAACAAAGGTTAATCAGCAAATTTTTGTCACTGTTTTAAAATATGCTTAAAATCATTCAACTTTTGTTTAAAAAAATTTCTTTTATCTCTTAAATAGTTTTAGAGATATTTACCTCAAAAAAGAAAATTTGATCTTTTTGAAAGAAGTTTTTTAAACTTCTAAACATACGATTGGATATGATGACTAAAAGAATACGTATCCCTTATGTTCATCTAAGAAAACAAAAACTCATTAAAATTGGATAAGGAGCACTTCGGACTTTTTCCATATTAGTTTAATTCATAAAAAGTAATAATTATGTGATTTTTTTAACAATTATATCTACATAAAAATAAAACAGTTTTAAGGTTTTTGATACTTAATCAGCCATATTGGAAATCGTGACGTCAGAGGCGAGAAATAATATATGGAGAATTCTTGCGTGCTATTTTTTAACGAAGATATTTAATTAGAAAGAAAAAACATTTCAGATCGTTTTAACACACTTTTAAAATAGTCCAAAAACTAACCTTTTTTGTTGACAATCAATCAACAGCTGAAAAATGACTGTAATATAAAACCTAGCTTGCAGATGTACAATCACTTGATCGTATCATGACACTTTGCACCAAATCCCATATAGTTATTTAACCACCCTTAATTATTAACTTATAACAGAAAAGGTTAATTTCGGACTATTTTAGAAGTGTGTTAAAGTGACCTGGAGTGTTTTTTTAAATCCAAATATCTTTTTATGTAAAAATGGCACGCAAAAGCGTTTTCAACGTGTTATTTCTCGCGTCTGACGTCACGATTCCAATATGGCTGCGGTGAGTATCCCGAAGCCTTAAGGTGGAAGCACATAAAATTACAGGAGCCATAGGCAGACTGCAGAAGCCATAGCGCATGCGCTGTGGTATTACTTTATCTGCCTATAGCAGAATGGCAGATATCATAGCGCATGCGCTATGGTTTCTGTATTCTGCCCATGGCTTCTGGATTTTCAATCTACATAAAAATACATAATGCATAGCCATGGGAATAGGCACATACATTCTCCTTGTAGTCGGTCCTTCTAGAAAAGTGATCAAGAAGAAAGAACGGATTTATATTGATTAACACGTAAGTATTCTCATTATTTAAGTATCAACGTAATGAAATTACGAACTGACAGTGACCGTATATAATTATTAGTGTGAATTGTCTCAGTTTCGTAAACATAGTGTTTTGAGGTTAATTTGATTTTGTGAACAAATTAGGTGAACTGAGCAAAATTGATATCAGTGCCGAAGTATCCAAATTGCTTTCTACTCTGAAGGCTCAGAGCTCTGCGACTAACAAGACGCAAGCAAACTCGAATCAAGACGCGTTGAAAGCCAAATCGGCGCAAGATCCGAAGACGGATAGCGAGACGTCGTCGAGTCCGAGGTGATCAGAAATTGTAATTTATTGCAAAATAAACGCATCTTTTCATAATTTTCGGTATATTTAATGTTTAATGTTTTAAATTTATAGAATCGATCTTCATGGCATACGATCACACGGATTACTGTCACAATAATAATATAAACATGTCCGAAAATGAAGAAAATGAAAACCTGAATTCTGAAGTGACGTTGGTGGACGACGAAGATAAAAATTTTGATGATTTGTTAATAAGTATTGTGAAAGAATATCCACATCTATATGACAGCAGTTGTAAAGATTATCGCGATGTGATAAAAAAAGAGAACTCTTGGTTAGAGATATCTAAAATTTTGGCCACGTCTCGTAAGTTTTAGTTTTAAAAGTTTAACAATATTAACACACAATAAGCTATTCAATTCATTATTTATTTATTTATTTATTATTTATTTTTTAAAATTTATTTTTAGGTCGTTCATTTTACTTGTAACGTCGTAACCGTTACTTTTTTATAACAACCATTTGGTAACAATTAACGTAACAATTTTTTATAACGCTAATGGTAACACCAGGATGGGAATGCCACTTTTGAAACTCATTACCATTACGTGTTATACTTAATGAAAAAAGTAACTTGTTACTTTATTCGTTACGTAACGAGTAAAAGTAATGCATTAGTAACAACGTTATTTTTACTCGTTACGTAACGATAGTAACTGTAACTGTAAGTGTAACTGTAACTGTAACTGTAAGTAACTGTATTTAACATATATTTCAGCGGATGTTTGCTGCAATCGGTGGACTCGTCTGAGAGAATCTTACTCTAAAGAAAAGAAAAAAAGACAAAATGAAACGGCAAGTGGAAGTGGAGCCTCTAAAAGACGAGGATTTATATACTTCAAGTCTATGAAATATATTGACAAATTTGTCAAAAGTAGAAAGTAAGAATTCCTTACATTTGATTCTAATTGACATGTTTTACCACATTTTTATTAATCCACAAATTTAATCAAATATAATATGGTTGCACGGGGGGGTATGAGGCGCTCCCCGGATTTGCGATTGGTCAACA